TGCAACAGCAGTTGGAAGTCCTCAAACTTCGCCAGTGTTTTGGGATAGAGCGCCTGTCTGCATCAGATGAGGATGTGCGCTTTTATACCAGGTTTGCGTCCTACAAGAGTTTCATGGCTTTTTGGAGTTTAATTGAACCTGCTGTGATCAACAAGATGGTGCGCATAACCAGCGCTAAGACAGCCTCTGCCAGCATCAGCACAGTCCATCACCCAACAACGGTAGGTAACAAATATGATAACATGACATGCATAGAGTTGTAGGCCTAATGTAACTCTGAAATTGGATACAAACCGTTTCATTCCGTAATTGCCCCTGTTGGCTTGTGAAGTTAACTAACATCTAACTAAAAAGTAAAAGACAACAAGCTGATGTTGGTATTATTTTCTATTTACATACTAGTACACACACGAGAGAAACCTAAGTGTCCGAGAATTAGTTATTAATTGCTACACAGTAATATATAATTACTATATAAGAGGCATGGAAGTCTGATTTATGGACAACAATAATCAGTAGGTTAAAAACGTCTTGCTTTGAGCTATTGTATAATAAATATAAATAATCTGACCACATAAAGTTTCATGGAGGATTAAATAAGATTGAATTTATGTAGTAAGATTTTATAACTTATCACTGTACCACAACCGGGTTTTAAATATTATTTTCTGATTTATTCTTTGTAATAACAATATCAATGTCAAGGTAACTAAACAGAGGCTTTTATTTTTTTATATCTCAGAAACTTAGACCCATTGACGAGTTTCTGCTGTTCCTGATGTACCTGTCAGTGGGTTTTCCTCTCAGGTTGCAGAAAGGTTCAGCATTCACCGCACTACTGCAAGTTGGATCATCTCCACATGGACTCATTTCCTGTACTGCCTGCTGGGGAGCCAGCGCCTTGAATTCCTCCAGAGATAGTGAGAGCTCACCTGCCACCTGAGTTTGCAGCTTTTTCTGATACACAGGTGGTCCTTGATTGTATAGAGATATTCTGTCAGACGCCATCCTCACTGCTCCTTCAGAGTGAGGTTTTCTCAACCTACAAATCACACACTACATTCAAGGCCATGATTAGCATGGCACCCCACGCTGCAGTCACCTTTGTGTCTGGACTGTATGCAGGCTCTATGAGTGATCGTGAGATCTTCAAGCAGTCCAGGATTGTGAAGCTTCTGAAGCCAGGGATGGCGATCATGGTGGACAAAGGTTTTGTTGTGGACAACCTTGTTCCTTGTAAGCTGTACCGCCCTGCTTTTCTCAGCAACAACCAGCAAATGAGTCGAGAGGATGTCAGACAGACACAGTCAATTGCACGTCTGAGAGTGCATGTGGAGAGGTGCATAAGGAGAGTGAAAGAGAACACACTGTTCGACAAGGACATACCACTGTCTATATGCGGGAACATTGACGAATTGTTCAGTGTGGCCTGCTTCCTGGTCAATTATCAGAATGGGCCATTAGTGAAGGCATGGGCAACTCAGTAATGAATTAAACATCTTGCTTCTTAAAAACAGTCTTTGTGTCATTGTTGTCATTACATTAGCTTTGTTTTTACTGACTTGAAATTAAAATAAAAACGCACCAGAGATGTCATTAGACTATGTAGAATTTAATAAGGAAATACCGAACAACACATATTCAATCATACAATATCAACAATCCACATTTTACAATCGGGCTCTCATTGCAATCAGTAAAAAAGGTATGGTCTCAGGTCAATTATGGAAAGAAACTATATGAGGATATATGCGCATATATGAAACCTATATGCAGTTTATATGCACATATATGCTGCATATATACAGCATATACGCACATATATGATAATATATATGCTGCATATGTGTGTATATATGACACATAGGCAATTTTAGGTGCATATATGCACATATATGATAAGATATATGCTGCATATGTGTGTATATATGACACATATAGGCAATTTTAGGTGCATATATGTGCATTTACAGGCCATATACTGTAGGTCTCCTGCATTGCTTCTTTATATCCACACATAAGTGCTATATACAAGAGTATCCTATACTGTAGCTCATGGCAGGATCTGGTCATTTGTAGCTCATCCACTCTAAACAATGCTGGGTTGTTTGAACCCAAATTTGGGTGAAATATGGACAAACCCAAATGTTTGGTTAAAAATGTAATTTCAAATTTTAACCCAAATTCAACTTTCACTTTCACTTTTTCAACTGTACATTTTTTTAATTGCATTTTTAACCCAACATTTGGGTTTGTCCATGTTTGACCCAAAGCATTTTTAGAGTGTATATGTCACTATTGCTCAAATAAATAAATAAATATTTATATACATATCAGAATGACTTAGTGGAAAAGAAGGAAATGTATAACAAAAGGGTTTGTTGTTTTTTTCATTTTACCAAAAAGCCCTTTTTCCAATTTCAAGTCACTTTCCCATACACATCCACACATTCACCGATACATCCACAAAATGCAATGCAAATTGCAATGTTTTCTGTATTGTCTGAATGCAGTTTTTTTTTGTAAGGTCATTACAGTCAAAAAAAAAAAAAAAAAAGTGAATAGAACGAACATTCAAATAATAATCATCATCCCACCATCCCACCATCTATCTGAGCAATTCACAGTGGTTAATAAATTCGAATGCTGCTGCACTGCCGATTGGCCGCTACAGCGCCCCGTAGTTGATGACGTCACCTGCCTAACGCTTGACGTTATCCGTATCCTATATGGGAAGGCTGCAGACCTGGAGCCGGCAGTTTTACGCCCCTGACAGTTTTACGCCCCTGACAGTTTTAAGCCCCTGTTGTTCCTGATGCGTCCAGTAGGGGGAGAAGGATAAATGGCAAAATAACGTAAAACGACGCTGGAAACAAACACATTAATAACCGTCTAGACTTTAACTAATTTGTATGTATTTGTTTATTTAAATAAACGTTATAGACAGTGGAGTTATCTGCACTATAAGGATTAAAACATCCAGATGTTCAGTTGGGATTCACTCTTCACTCAGCCTACAGAAGATTTGTTTTTGAAAATATTAGGCTATACACATAGTTGGATGAGATGGACAAAGTAATGATATTTGACCTACTGAAGAATTAATTGTTTTAAACTGTTTTATATACAGGAAACTGATTGATATATGTTGTTGTGAACTAAAGTTACATTTATGTACCATATTTAGCCTTGAGATATGAGTTAATGAGTTAAAAATAACTAAAGACAGAGTATGATAAAACACACATTAAGTGCACATACATTTTAGTCCATATCAGTAAGCTATTTTAAGAAAACTCTATGATATAGCTACATTAGAAAATTAGATCATCTCATTTATATATATATATATATATAAATAAAAAAAAAAACTTAAACCAAAATGTACATTTAAGCCATATGGGACCAAAGTTTTTAATGTGGGCTTTATAATGCATTATGTTTGTATGTATTACAAGACAAAATATTAAGAGTGAGTGTGCAGTTCGAATCTTTACTTAGAGAGATTTTCATTCAAATACATACATATACATACATGCCTATTATAAATGTGTTTGTGTACACATCATAAACTGTAATTAACACATTTCCAATATCCACTGTAATGTTGCTCCAGAAACCACGTGGAGTAGGCTATGTTTAAATGCAAGGAGTAAACTGGGTCTTACCAGTAGATGCCATGTCACGCAAGGTATAGACAGACAAGATAAAAATAAAAATTAAATGAATTTTAAAAGTGAGTGAGACAGAGCAGGTAAAAAGAAGACTATGGGCAGCTTTTAAACCTATATGTGGTTAAGTTTGCTAAGTTTGAGCCAGACAGAACATCAACCTGACCATCAAGTAGCCAACTTTTATTGTCTCTCGAAATAATAAAGAATTTATTACAGTTATTTACAATCTCTTTGTTACTGTTTTCAGAACCTTGACGTCATTTTTCAACACTCTAGACACAAAACTCACAACCAATGATCAAAATGCACATTTTAAAAACTCTAACCCTTTTCTCAATTGCTTGGATACAACATAAAAGTTAGATCATTTGTTCATTCAACAAAAATCACCTGTTCAATATGACACAACTTAACATCAAAGTACTAGTATTTCAAAAGGCAATTCACACATTACATTTCAAATGAGTGTCTATTCATTTCCTTACAGTGATCTAACTATCAATCGATACAACTGCTCAAAATGCTAAGTAACTGTTGTGTTACTCTTAATGCATGACACACAATCTTTACAGTAAATCATGAAAGCTTCAAGATAATGAGATTCAATAAACCTATGTTGTGATTGTAGTGTTTTGCATCAATATATCACACACTTTGTTCAATGATTCCACTATGTGTGTATTCTCTCTACAGTACTGCTTTAAAGAGATGTGTTTACTGTACATGTAGTGCCATAATGAAACCTGTATCACCTATTTTGTTCTACAACATTTACGTAATGATTGTACAAAAAATGACAGTGAAACTATCGGTTGCTTGTGTGTGGGTGAGCTATAGTTTTGTTTAGGCCTATTTCACAGTACATTTGTTTTTTGAACCAATGATTGTGCAAGTGCAAGATTTCTTTAAAAATGTGAATGCACAATGCAATGTTTTGAACATTAGACAGCCTGTGTTACAAGTGATAACCGTTTTGAGTTTTGTGTCTAGAGTTTTGAAAAATGACATCAAGGTTCTGAAAATAGTAGCAAAGTGATTGTAAAAAACTGTAAATTATAGACCCATCTTTTCAATTGACATCGAATCTTAGCTTATCGCTTAGAAATAATCATCATTACAATTCAATCAACAACAATAACTTTAGCAGATTATTTAAAATACCTCAATTCATGTCACTTCTAGAAGGCCTGATGCTATAGATCTGTAAGTGTAGTCTCCCCCTACTGGATGCATCAGGAACAACAGGGGCTTAAAACTGTCAGGGGCGCAAAACTGTCAGGGGCGTAAAACTGCCGGCTCCAGGTCTGCAGCCTCCCCCTACTCTCCGTATCCGATGAGATGAAGTCAAGTTTCGCGCCGGAAGATAACGGCTGGGAGTAAAAATTGCGATTTCAGCATTGGAGATCCTCTAAGTCCTACTTATCACCAATCGTAAGTATTCCTAATTTTATATTTATTTGCAGGGTGGAAATTGCGGTGGCAGAGAAGTATAAACTTAGCATTTATTTTTTGCCAAACACACCTGTTTCAGCCCATACACTTCCTATGTTGTTAGCTGGTGAGGTAACGTAACGTTACTGTGGGTGCTAAAATAACTTAGCCGTTGATAAGATTCAATTTAGAATTAACGTGTATTTATTTGTTTCTTTCTGGAGGAATTCGTAGAGGGTTATCAAAAGTCATGGCCTAGAGAACATAACGTCATGAGAATAAATGATACTTCTCTGCCAACGGCTCAAGAAGGCAATCGGCTCCAGAAAAAAAAAAAAAATACCTGTGGAGTTTGAATTTGGTCGAAATTGGTGAAAGAAAGAGCCGTATCAATGGGCTTGCCTTTACAGTTGCAGGAAATGTCTTTCAAATAGTAAACATTAACGTTAGGGCATTACTATTTTGATTAAGTGATTGTAATTGTTTTTTTTTTCTTTATATAACCTCTTTCTAGAATTACCTCAAATGAAAAGTTACCTCGCCATTATTGCTCAAAAAGGTAAGTTCCTCTGATTTTGCTTTTTAAAATTGTTTCTCTAGCAGAGATGTAGAGACTTGTGATGTTGGGCTGATTGATAGTGTTAATTATTTGATTTAAGTTATTTGCACTTTAATTTATTGAAGAGAATAACTTTTATTTTTCTTCTATGAACAAGACTGGAAGGAGTCCTGTTGAGGATTTAGATTCCTTCTCTTTTGAAAAGTGCAACCGGTGAGTAACCCCCTTGAATTTTTATTTATTTATTAATAAATATCCCCATCCCCACCCCGACACCCTATCCTCCTCCTCCTCTCCTTTAAGAACATTTAGGGCAATTATTAATTTGTTTCATATTATTATTTTGTGTAATATTATTATTTTGTTTCTTTATCATTAATCTGCATTCATACATAAAACATATAAACTATTGGGAAGCTAAGCATAAGAATCAATATGAAACAATGCCAATAAATGAATAAATTATTTTTCAGATTGAAGTTATAAAGGGCTCTGGGGTGTTTTGCCAGGCAGAAGTGTGGAAAGCAGCCCTCCTTGCCACCTCTGCTACTGCCATGGTGTGGAATCTGCTGCTGGGCACATTTGATCTGGAGACTTTGCTGAAAAACAACCTGAATGGTACAAAACATTCTCCTAATCTCTTCTGTCCGTAAAAAACAATTAATATTCTGTGGAATAAATTATGTTTGTGTGCGGGCATACCATCGCTTTTTTACTTGCCATTTTTGTATTTCCTTGCACCTCAAGAAAATGTGATGTGTATATAAAAAAAGTATTGCTTTCACAAGATTCATTTTAACCCCCTTTTATAATAATTTTGAAATTTTACTTTAAGGTGGGAAGCCAACCAGAGGGGATGGGGAGCAGCTGGTCGCCCTTGACCAAATTAAAAAGGCATCATTATTGGTGAGTAAATGTATAAAAGTTTTGTTTTCCCTTCTCAACGCATTAGGATTTTATAAGTTCACCACTTTAACCATAGCCTACTTGTATCAATGTTTATTAGGCATCAATTGAGACTGTATAAGGGATTATTGTTACTATATCTACTTGGAACCTATAATACTAATTCATCGCTTGCTCAGTTCTTGATCCTAACTTTCCTTTTCTTAAGCCACGTTTCAGATTTTTCAGAATCTTCAGAATCTTCCAATTGACATGTTTACATGACGCATTTTTTAAAATGATCAACCTTTTATCAAAAAATATGTGTCCGATCACATCTGTACTGTAAGCACTTTGGGTTCCTGATGAAGTACTATATTCTTCTTCTTCTTCTTCTTCTTCTTATTATTATTATAGTGTCTTATTATTTTTGTCTTCTCTAGATGCTACATTGAAGAAGTGGCCGTCAGCCAGCCGAGGGGAGATGGGCACGTCTATCAATTCAAAGCTCATGGAGCTGAGAAGATCAAAAAGATTTTTTTTTTCTATCCAGTTTTTTTGTCTTATTTTTGTTTTTGTACTATTTGATCTTAAGTAAATAAATAATCTAAATGCATACATTTTGGACTATTATTTATGTTGCCTAGTAGCTATGGATTTTAATAATTATTCTAATATAGGTAAACATGTTGGTGCATGTATAAATGCACCTATATGTGCACATATATGCGTACATACATGTACATATATAGGTACATGTATGCATGTATATATGCACCTATATGTGTACATATATGCATGCATACATGTACATATATAGGTTCATATATGCACAAATATATGCACCTATATGTGTACATATATGCGTGCATACATGTCCATATATGCACCTATATGTGTACATATATGTGTGCATACATGTACCTATATAGGTGCGTATATATGTGTACATATATGCACGTATATATGTACATATATGTGCATATATGTACATATAATATAGGAAAACGGCCAATTTTATATATGTCACATATATTAAAAACATATATCAAAACCTATATTAAAACATATATGTTTATATAGGTTTTTTCCATGTGGGGTAGGCCTGCATTAGTGACATTAGCTCTAGTTTTATAGACCATTTTGCAAGATGTAAACAACACGGGTCCAGAAACACTTCCTGTTTCAGTTTGTAACTGTTTACTTTATTTCACATGTAAAAAAACATCTTAAAGATGTTTGTTTAACTTTTTGATTCATTTTATATGTTCTATTGGTTGTATTTTATCCCAGCTTTTAGTGTTAAAAAACTGAAACAGGAAGTGCTTCTGGACCAGTGTTGTTTACATCTTGCAAAATGGTCTTGTTTATCGGAGTTGAGATGTCATTGTTCAGGATTTTAGGTTAAAGATAAAAAATAAAAACCTAATACTTAGTTTGTACAGATTTGAAAAGATTAAACATAATACCTAATATTAGATCAGGCATTGTAAAGATTAACAAGAAAACATTTAAGAAACATTTATCAACCGACTGAAAAATAACTGATTGAATGAATCATTGATTTTTAAAAGATCAGATCAAGTAATGATAAAAAAAGAAATAATCCCCTCTCTCCCTTATAACCCTAGTGACTTCCGCATCCTTGTAAATTCTTTGTACAAGAAGGTCTTCCTCTGCAAAAACCACAAAATCACACCACTGCATTCCGGTGATAAGCAGCTGGCCCTGCCTGCCAATAGTAGCTGTGACTTGACTTCAGGCGCAAGGCGCCACAAAATTACCCCAAAATCTGACTTGAACTGGTTTAACACATTTTTTTCCACCCTACTCTGAGGTCGTGACAGAGGCTTCTCATGCTTCCTCATGGACCTATAACATACAGCCCTGACGGTCACCCTCCCAGCAGGATCTTTGTTTGACACTGTGGGAATTCAACATCATTCATGCAATGTTAGGCAAAACTGGGCTTCTTTTCAACATTGTACAGATATTTTTTGTAATTTTACACAAAAAAATTACATTGTACACATTGCCAAATAAACAGACAATACTGTAGTTTATTAAGGTTAAATATAGGTAACTACTCTTCCTAAAATGGTGGTAAGCACACTTACATTATTATTTTAAGTAAATGTGGTTTGATTTGTTTACATTAGTTAATTGATTAGGCTAACTAACATGAGCCATGAGCAATACATTTGTTACTGTGTATTTATCTTTATTAATCTTAGTTCTTAAAAATACAGCCGTTCATTGTGTTTCCATGTTACTTCACAGTGCATTAAATAATGTTAACAAATACAACTTTTGATTTCAATAATGTAGGCAACTAGTAAATGGTAAAATTAAAATAAAGATTAATTAATGCTGTAGAAGTACAGTTTATTAATATTTAATGTTAACTAAGTAGTTAAAGGGTTAGTTCACCCAAAAATAAAAATTAAGTCATTAATTACTCACCCCCATGCTGTACCAACCCCGTAAGACCTTCGTTCGTCTTTGGAACACAAATAAAGATATTTTTGATTAAATTTGAGAGCTGTATAACTACCACATAGGCTCCTAAGGGACTGCCTCTTGACGGCCCAGAAAGTCAATGAAGAAAATGTTTAAATATCCCAAGTGATTACCGTGGCTCAACTATATGTTTATCAAGCGACGAGAATACTTTTTGTGCGAAAAAACAAACAAAAATAACGAGTTTATTCGACTATTCATTTTCTTCCTTGTAGGCCAGAAACGAGACTTCCTTAGATTTCCACGACGCATGCGCGAGAACTGAACTGAAGTAGTGTAAGGAGATCGCAATTCTTGCGCATGCGTCGTGGAAATCTAAGGAAGTCTCGTTTCTGGCCTACAAGGAAGAAAAGGAATAGTCGAATAAACTCGTTATTTTTGTTTGTTTTTTCGCACAAAAAGTATTCTCGTCGCTTGATAAACATATAGTTGAGCCACGGTAGTCACTTGGGATATTTAAACATTTTCTTCATTGACTTTCTGGGCCGTCAAGAGGCAGTTCTTTAGGAGCCTATGTGGTAGTTATACAGCTCTCAAATTTAATCAAAAATATCTTCATTTGTGTTCCGAAGATGAACGAAGGTCTTAGGGGGTTGGTACAGCATGGGGGTGAGTAATTAATGACTTAATTTTAATTTTTGGGTGAACTAACCCTTTAACTAGAGTTTGATAAATGGAACCTCATTGTAAAGTGTTACAGATGTGTTATTCAGCAATTCGGTTCTGGACAGATCAGTTATTTTAACCATTCATTAAATGGAATCGGTTCAAAGGAGTCATTAGTTTGCAAATCAGACGTGCAATTAGCGGATTACGGCAGGAGGTGAAACACAGAATCGTGTAATTCTCCATTGATGTTGGTTAATATGCGCGAGGGATCAAGAGAGAGCAAGACAGTTTGAAGAGTGCGCTCTCCCTCTCTGCTCGTTCTCAGTAACATGCACGCTTTTTCAGGGTGCTGGGTTTTTGTTTTAACTAAAAAACGTTAAAAAATCAAGTGTTAATTCTACAAAATCTAAGATCTCTACTACAGGAAAACTGACCTAAATGTTAGCTACATAACTCCTGCTAGCTAATTCACGATACCACAATATGAATCTGTTTTGCTGTCAATTTCAAACATACCTTCATAGTTGTCAATAAAACTTGACATGTACATCTTGTACCCTTTTTCACGTTTACTCCGGGGTGCAGAGCATTCATTTAGGACAAGTCTATGGACATCTGATATGGTCAGCTTGGGCAGATCTTGGAGACATCTGCTGTAAAACATCGCCATCTTACCGGAAGTATTGACCCACACACTCGGGGATGCGGAAGTAGAACGGAAGTAGAGTCTTGCACCGAGCGAATTTACCTCTGCACGGACAAACAAATAAACTTTATACTAAGCAACACAACAAAGTCTGGAGATTCAATGATACAAAGAATAACATAGGTACAGCGCGTCAGCCAGAGCACTCCTGGGCTAAATCACCACAGTAGCCGTCAGTATTAGATTGAGCGTCTACATTTAGTCAAAAACCTGGCTCATTTAGAACTTTGTGTGAAACGCAACGAGACGGATTAAGAGGATAAGCTGCCTTGTTGGATTGGGGATTCAAGTTACGTCGGCGGATGCAGTAAGCTGTTGGTTAAAGGATGCGGAGCTACGAGGCTAAAGCCGGCTGTCGGGATCACAGATCATCGCAAGGCGCCCAACGCAAGAGGTATGTGTAGCGCTACATTTTTGGCCATTTAAATTGTGTGCACACATAAAAGGGGCATAAATCCAATGCATTGGTTGCCAGATACGGCGGACAATAGACTTTTCAAGGTCTGTTATTGCGAACTTTGAGTTACTGTTTGTTGTTATGGAGACTCGTGACGCAACGTCGGACATTAGCGGGACTGGTGTGCTTAAAGTTACAGCTGGTGAATCCAGTAGTGTGACTAGCAGTGTTCAAGCACAAACTGGAAAGTGGGTAGTGAAGCTTACTGCAAAAGCACTTGCTGAAAAATTGGACAGGTTGCAAAATGACAGAAAGGCTAAGCTCAACAAGGCCAGTGTGTTAAGGAAATCAATTGAAGCTCTGATATTAAAGGGTGATAAAACACAGGTACTGAATGCTCTTGGAGAATTGATTGAGGTATGTGATGAATCGAAATGCATACATGAATCATTGTTGGGTTTACTGCCATATGAGGAAAATGAAAAACATAAAATATGGTTTAAAGCAAAAATGCTGTTTAATGATGAGTGTATTGCTGATACAAAAAAGTGGGTTTCAAGCAATGCAGGAAATGACTTGGAAAATGTAAATGTTGATGGTACTGATATTAATCCTGATGACAGCGTTTCCCAGGTTAGTAAACGCTGTAATCAGAGGAGTGTTAACAGTAGTAAATTAAGTACCACGTCATCTGCAAGGATTAAAGCGGAGGCAAATAGAGCTGCACTGGAAGCTCGTGTGGCAGCTTTAAAGGGGCAACATGCTTTAGAGGAACAGGAGCAGCAACTGAGGAGGAAAAGAGAGCAGCTTGGTTTGGAAGCTGAATTGGCTGCATCCAATGCTATGCTGGCAGTATTTCAGGCCGCTGACATGTAAGGTTCTTCTCAGGCATTGTCAAATGGTATGAATTCCTACCTAGAAAAGGAGAAGAGGAATAAAACAACTGCTAATCTCCTAAATCCTATGGCAAAGGAATATCAGCCTGGAGCAGGAAAATCAAACCCACAAATTGACAAGACAAAGTTGTCATTTCTACCGCAAACACAACCATCAGTGGATGTGCGACGAAAGGAAACCCATCAATGGGTCGAAAGCAATACGCTGGGGACAGTGTATTATTCCCAATGCCAACCAACAACTGCTCAAACGAGGAATATGGAAGGAACGCAATCCCAATCTCAGATTCGTCCAAATACGCCTGGAGACATAATCAACATCATGCACAGGCAAAATGAAATATCAGCAACTTTAGTTCAACAGCAGCGCTCATTGTCTCTACCACCACG